TTATGGTGACATCCCCCCAGTCCCGAAGTCGGGATACTTAGAAAAAGCCATTGCTCGTCTCCTATTAGTTAACGATACTAAAAATACCAACTCCTTCGATGTTAATCGGAAGCAATATGTTACATCTCTCCGGCAAAAGCTCAAAAAAGCAAAACTCGTAACCGAATCTGACATGATGACAGGAACAGCGTCGAAACCACACTGGACAGCTACAATTTGGCATCATACCACTTTGATCTGAACACCTTACCATTAAATGCCGTGCGGAAAAAAAGTTGAAGCAAAGATAGAAAACAGAAAACACACTTGATACGTTCCTGAAGGAAGTAGACAATCTACCAAATTATAGTCAATTTTTATTAGCTGCCAATTCTTTCTTCCCGACATGGTATGATGTGAAATAAAACCACAGTGATGCTAAGATAGTTGCAAAACCCGAACTCTGGGCCTAATTTGCACCTGCCATTACATTTTCAGTAGGCTCACGTGTTAGAAATTGTACCACACAGGCCCTCGGTTTTGAATGGAAAGTTCAACAATGTGATTTGGACTGCCGATTCAGCTCAAGTGGGTTCAATGCTGAATTGTGCTTCGAAACTGGCGAGTAATTATTGATGGAAACATGTAAATGTTGATGGAACCGTTAGGTAAACAACTGGCTGAGAGAAAGGCGAAACAGGGGCCTCGGTTGGTGCAATGGGTAATACGTGACCCTCTGTAAACCGTAGTTCAAGGGTTGGAGCCAAGGCTGAGGTTCTGTGTTTTCTCATATCTCAGCATCATTGTGATTAAACTTCTACAATTCAAGAAACGTAGGAAAACATGTTAGACACTTTTTATTTACTGCTTATTCTTCTCCATGAAAGGGTATGATGTAGAATATAACTATAATGATGCAGAGGTATTTGCAAAACTGCTAAACGGAGGCGTTCGAGGTGAAGACCGAACCTGTTATTAAACATTGAGGATGTTAACGTGTTCACCACCGCACCATGCGGGTCCCTCGTTTCGCATGTCTCTCAGCTATTTCTATCGATCTTTTTTTTGCCACAGCAATCACCCGTCAGCGGGGTTGATCTGGGGAGCGCAAATCGGCATAGAACCCAGTTAAGCTGTGGCTGTAGTTGAAATCACAATGTTTAACGTTTTTGTTAGACCCGCATGGTGTGGTGGTGAACGCGTTACTCCCCGGAATGGACAATAGCGCGTTCGTTCCCCACCATAGACCCCTGCGGTCCAGAGTTTTGCAAATATCTCAGCAACGTTGTGGCTGTATTTCGCTTAGTAACCTGCCATGAAAATTATAGAAGGCAGAAAACAAAAACGTTAAACATTACTATTTCTCTTAGAAAAAACTATTGAGACAATTTTGTGGTCTGCGTTATTGTTCTAACCTACGGTTTTCTTGGCCGTTCACCTAAATACCGCGCCGAAGATTTGTCAACGCATTGTTGAAGGTGGCCCGAAAGATTAAGGGTCATCAGTTCCATATTTGAACCAAGACAGAACGGTTTAACGACGGTTTAAAAGTCATGTCCAATACTTTCTGCTTTTAGAATGGTCGTCATCTTGATAGAATCATCGGCCATGTTCGAGTTCTCCAATCGGACCATCATACATCAGTTTTTATCAGAAAAAGAAGCAAAGAAATGTCAAAATCTAGTAGAAAACCTGCATATAATCCTTATACTGGGTTATTTTTTTGTAGCCTTTCCTCACCCTCAGATAAATACTGCTTCCTGTAAGATTTACGCAGCTATAGTTTGCCTAACTGAATATTGGTTTTGTGTTTCGCTATGACAAAAAATTCCACCTAACTGATGATTTCTTCTCGAGAATGTTTTTTCTGCCTAGAATCAAAATTAGGCCGTACAATGTCCTTGTTGAATCGTCAATTCACTACAGTTCTGTGATTGTGAATGGTCTCATTTCACGAGTTTCCAAATACGACCGTTGTAGGTCTTTTCCGACTCTTCAATCCACGCGAATTCGGCTGTCATAGGACAATTTTCTTTCTTTGTAAATCAAAAGTAACCCTACAAAATTTTTCTAGGTGGTTGGCGCTCATCTTAATTTGCTAGTCGAAAGAGATGGTTTTCCGTTCGTGGAATTCCATGGAAGCCGCGCAAAGTTTTCTTCCAGCCTTAAAGTAAAAAAGTTGTTAATCCGTATCTTTCAGCAAGATCTGTTTGCCCCCTTGCACCCATATTTTTTTCCAGGAAGACGGTGACGGATGGCAGGCATACTGGTTGATCCGCCATAACAAAATGTTGAAGTCATCGAACTAGATTACGTTGACGATGAGATGAACTGTCGCTATCCAGTCGCAGTTCAACAACTAGAAACTCTTCTGCAACAGGCTACTCTAAATACTGTGAACTGCTGATAATTGATAAATCTGGGTATTCTCTTTCACAAAAGGTTTTTCATTTTTTCTTTTTTCAAGACTGAGAGAAGGGCGGAAGGCCAGACCAGCACGGTGTGGTGGTGAACACGTTAACACCCTCAATGTTTAATAACAGGTTCGATCTTCACCTCGAACGCCTCCGTTTAGCAGTTTTGCAAATACCTCTGCATCATTATAGTTATATTCTACATCATACCCTTTCATGGAGAAGAATAAGCAGTAAATAAAAAGTGTCTAACATGTTTTTCTACGTTTCTTGAATTGTAGAAGTTTAATCACAATGATGCTGAGATATGAGAAAACACAGAACCTCAGCCTTGGCTCCAACCCTTGAACTACGGTTTACAGAGGGTCACGTATTACCCATTGCACCAACCGAGGCCCCTGTTTCGCCTTTTCTCAGCCAGTTGTTTACCTAACGGTTCCATCAACATTTACATGTTTCCATCAATAATTACTCGCCAGTTTCGAAGCACAATTCAGCATTGAACCCACTTGAGCTGAATCGGCAGTCCAAATCACATTGTTGAACTTTCCATTCAAAACCGAGGGCCTGTGTGGTACAATTTCTAACACGTGAGCCTACTGAAAATGTAATGGCAGGTGCAAATTAGGCCCAGAGTTCGGGTTTTGCAACTATCTTAGCATCACTGTGGTTTTATTTCACATCATACCATGTCGGGAAGAAAGAATTGGCAGCTAATAAAAATTGACTATAATTTGGTAGATTGTCTACTTCCTTCAGGAACGTATCAAGTGTGTTTTCTGTTTTCTATCTTTGCTTCAACTTTTTTTCCGCACGGCATTTAATGGTAAGGTGTTCAGATCAAAGTGGTATGATGCCAAATTGTAGCTGTCCAGTGTGGTTTCGACGCTGTTCCTGTCATCATGTCAGATTCGGTTACGAGTTTTGCTTTTTTGAGCTTTTGCCGGAGAGATGTAACATATTGCTTCCGATTAACATCGAAGGAGTTGGTATTTTTAGTATCGTTAACTAATAGGAGACGAGCAATGGCTTTTTCTAAGTATCCCGACTTCGGGACTGGGGGGATGTCACCATAAAATGAATGTGGACGGACTTCTTTTCATTCCATGGGTTTCACGCTTAGTTGTGCACAGAATTCTAGTACGTTAGCACAAAAATGTATGGTATAGTGAAAAAATGACTAATAATTGGAAGATTAGTCACTGGAAAACTTTTTATCTTAATCTAATTATTAATCTTTTATTAACTCTCCGCACCGGTAAAATATTATGATGACTGCTCAGATGGAAGACTTCACTACAACTGCCGATGGGGGAGAGACGAACTGTGGTGACGTTGAAGCTTCCGGTGTTGTCACTGAAACGAAAAACAAATAACTACAATAAGACAATGTTATACCTTTTTATTTTCTGCCTACTATGATTTCGTGGCAGGGTACAAAGCAAAATACAACCACAACGTTGCTGAGATATTTGCAAAACTCTGGACCGCAGGTGTCTATGGTGGGGAACGAACGCGATATTGTCCTTTCCGGGGAGTAACGCGATCACCACCATACCATGCAGATCCTTTGTTTCGCCTGTCTCTCAGCTATTTCTATCGATCTTTGCCACAGCAATCACCTGTCAATGGCATAATACCCGTCAATGGCATGAAATTATTCGAAAGACCGACTTTCTATAAACCTCGGCATAGATAATTGATATATTTATTTATGTTCTTTATTATTTTTATTCATTTTATTTTTTTTATTTTTTTTATTTTTTCTTTATTTTTTTTTATTAATTTTCGGTTCTACTGGCGATTCAACTAACTTAAAATAGTTGATGTCTGACTTATAAGCGCTAAGTGCAAATCACCAATCAACTGTCTCAGTACCTATCGCTCCACGCTGCTCTATCAAAAGAACCTTCATCGTTTCTAAACTTTCCTGAAGTAAAAAAATCAAATCACTGAGCGAAATCCAGGCACCACAGTGCGAGTAGGTGAAAAAACAGGACTATTTGACCTTTGACCGCAGTAGATTTCTTTGGTTTTTTGTTTAAGGGTTGTTCAACAAAATAGCAAAAGTTGGAAATTATGCAAAATTTCGGGCAGAACTTCCTCAAGTCACATATAACGCCTTAAGCTAAAATTTATATTAAATTGGATAGAAGATCAGGGTTAGAAAAAGCGTTCAACGTTAATCAATCCTTGATGGATGCGCCATGCATTCGACACCATTCGTAATATCGTTAAGGTGATTGTGGGCACATATGGCTAATGTATACTATAACTCGCAGTTGCCTATAGATGTATCAAGTTTATGCTGCTATCCCTTATTAGAAATATTGTCCCAAATCCGGTGGCATGGAAGACCTGCTGATCTCGAGGTTTCAGCTGCTCAGGAAATGAACAAGTCTCGCACCTTTTCCGATCCCTTGCGTTGTTCACCCAGCTCATTTGTTCATGCCCTCGTACTCAGACCCAGAAAACTACAACGCTTATGTTGCGTTGCGTAGGCTTCTACAACGATGACTTCGTTGTTGGTCGCCATCGTGGAATGTAGCGGTCCTCTTGTACTTGTGTTATCCAAACGGGATTGATAAGCACGCGATTGGGGCCGTGTTATGGCAAATGGAATGAATCCAGCTTCAAAAATGAAGGTAACACTTTTTTTTTAGTTTCAACAGTAAAAAAAGATAAACATTTTTGCAGAAGAAAAGAGCTAAAAGTTGTGGGAAGGATACCTTTCTTGCATTCGTGTTGCGAACCGCTTCCACGAGATTTTCTCTTGAAGAAGTCTGATGTAGTTATAGCCGCCATTACAACTACTATCGCAACCAACATAACGGCTAATACAGCCATCTGTGCTTGTCCTTGACTCCATTGACCTAAAAAAACGCGTGTGAAAGCGAAATGAAGTGTTTCACAATTAATTCAAAATGAAGTGCAAGCTCAATGTATTCTTTATTGACCCTCATTAGAATTACCCAATTGATTAAATGACTAGTCAATATCCTCAGACTCTTCAAAAGTAGGGAACACATAGCGAGTTGCTAAGAGGTACTTCTCATCTCAGAGGGTAAAAAACTGACTTATTATATGGGCAGGCTCCAGCAAAATACTTTGGAAGCCAAATGTGCATTCAATCGTCATTGTCACTCAGCGAATAATGCCGAATACATGGTGTATCCTTAGTCCATTGATCGATATTGAATGCCTTACCCTTACGTTCTTTTAAATCTTAAAAAGTCGGGAATGCTACCATATTTGGATTCGATATCTAACCACGAATAAAATGGAGCTCGAATAGGGGAATTGGGCTTAGTCCCTAATTCTCAACCAGCAATAATGAAAGTAATTGTGATCGAAAGATGCAGTTTATATTTTGTAATAAACACTTATTTTTGACAATATCTGCTAGTCACATACAGCTTCAGTAAGGTTCTTGTAGAAGGCTAATGTCTTGCATTATCAATTGCCGACAATCTACATTTTTTAGGGGCCCATTCATGGGAAGTTGTTGGTTTGCGAACTGCGGCCGAACAACAAGAGTTCCTCTTCGGTAACGTAATCCAATCTGATGAGCTCGATATTTTGGTATAGTGGACCAGTCTGGCCCGCACCTAAGCCACCGGTTACCGCCTTTCCAGAAGCATGGGCGCAAAGACGCAAACACGTGAGTTCATAGCTCGGAGAAAATCTTGCACAGTTTTCTTTGAACTGAAGGGAAAGAAAACAATTGCTCCATTACACGTATCAACGATTGAAGAAAAACTTAGAACAACCTCCCGTAAACTGTAAAGAAATCAATTTTTACAGCTTAGAGGAGACTTTGCACTGCTATCTCTAAAACTCTCGAGAAGGAAAATCTCTCTTGAGCTGATTATTAGCGGGAGTTGACGACTTAGTAGTAACACTCTATGGCTATCCTTCAGCAATGGAGAGAAAAACAATCTTAAGGAGGAAGCCATCAATCCACTCGAAATTTTCGTGATGGCGGAGCACTGAACTGCTCAATTAAGAAAGCCTGCAGTGCGCAAGTTTAACAAAAAACAGCTTTATTGTGACTCACCAAAGATTTGGTAGAAGCTGGAGCCGCTCCCTGAGGTCATATACAAGATTTCATCTAATTTTTTAAAACATTTCTCTACTTCCTTTGCTTCCAAAGCGCACGTCGTCAAGTCATCGGAAAGCAGGACACGAACGTGGCCGATGATTCTATCAAAATCACAACAGTAAGCAAACATTCATTGTTATTCCGAAACTGTCACCATCACTTTGAACCCGTTTCTTCCCAAAATTCCTGTAAGCCGAAAAATCGGCCATAATCAAAGCTGAATCCAAAAAGGTTTCAGAGAAAAAAAGATAAGACTCGTAACGAAGTTTCTTGCGAATTTTCTTCGCAGATTATCTGAAAAACACGTGAAGTGCGCAATGCATGCTTTTGTGTTGAACTGCGAACACAACGAGGCTGATGATGGTAGCGGTTTTCCAAAGGACTCTATATTACAGTAATTATGAACGTACTCAAAAGCCCAAAACGTTTTCCTTTTTCATGTAAACCATCTTAACGCTATCATTAATGGGTAAAAGCGTTCCCTCGTCGACATCTGAATGATAGTCATACATTCACCTCCTTTTGCGGAATGGTAGATGAAAATTAATGCACATTTGGCCCATACAATCCACAACACCCGCATATGACTCGTAGACAAAGGGATTTCGTATTTTCGATCCCGAATGAACAGCAGTCTTGTTCTGTTCTTGGTAAGAGACCAAACCGGCCAATCTTAATCTCACAGGACACCTCCAACCACTGTGCCTTACAAGCCTTTAAACCAATTCGAAATCGAAGCCTAACCAGGGTAATTAGGCGGGTGACAAATATAATTATTTGCATGTTATAGCAGCAATGCAGACCAAAAAATCGTTTCAGTGGCTGTTTTTTGTGTTTTAATTGAGAAGTGGTATTATTCGCATGGAACCCACCGTCGGTTATAGCTCTCATTTTGGCTAATCCTTCGATGTTTTCACTTGCCACGTTGCTATTACCGGAAAGAGAGAGGGCGGGCATTCCTGTGGTGAAAGCAGAGACACCTGATGGAAAAATAATAAATACCTGACTATATGAAGGATAATATAACAACGAAGTTACAGTTGCGATGATCTAATGTAACCGAGATTGGTAGCTTCGAAGCAAAGATTACCAAAAAACTTATAAAAGCGTATTTTCCGAAGTGATTAACAACCAGCCCTACCACATATTTGATTGTTATGGAGAGTACTTTTCAGTATAACCAGCGATCTCTTCAAATCAAAAATTTTCCACTGATGTGGAAATATCTTTCATATTTATGTTCACGGAGAAGATGATCCCAGACTGCTATAAATTGCTTACTCTGAAGTAAATATGGCACTTCTAAACTATTTTGGTATAGCGTTCAACTTTTTATTTACTACTTAATATTTTTTCTCACAGCAGGGTATTCTGTGAAGCACAACCAAAGTGATGCCCAGTTGTTTACAAAATTAAGGCTCCGGCTAGAATCGAACCGTCGATCACGATCACATGTTACTCACTGCACCACTAAGGCCTTTGGTTGGCCTTTCTGTCAGCCTATTTTATTTTAGTGTGATGTAGGATATCTTAGTATTTTCACTGACCAAAAATCTTTTAGAAAATTATTTTTTTCGAAGATCACTCATTAGTTATAGGATGATTTTAATACTACAAATGTTCTTTATATGTCCTATTTATGTGATTTTACGAGCTGATATTGTTGAGCTGATGCGAGGTTAGTAGAAGTTGTTGAAGTGGTTGTGGCTGCCCATCCGCAAGAGAATGTACCATGCATTTTTCTATATTCGTGGTATCGTAGATGTGAATGAATGCACATCTAGTCCTTACCATTACGTCGAGGCAACGTTTTAAATACTCTCGGACGGTACAAACCTGCCAGTACCGGAGTGATAGAAGGATTGGTGTGCTAGAGGTGCCAGATTTCACCAGCGACCTTTTCATTGTGTAATGCAGGGCACCCATGACCACTTCACTACACACACCTCATTTAGTTACAACATAAATCTCGTGCTGAAGTGCCCAGTGGTAAATGGGCTCCTAAAAGTGCTCTTGCCCAGTAAGTATTAAGCTTTAAAAACTGCAAAATTGAATCAACGATGTAGAAATGGCGATTACAGGACTGCTATGTCAGATCGAATGATCATCCATAAATGGTCGAAATTCGAAGGAGCGTCGAGAGTCAAAGGTTTTGAAAAAACAGAAAGGGAAACATTCGCGACATCTGTGACAACCATGGGAATTTATAGTGGCCGACGATTGGCGCTTTCTTAGAAAAAGAAGACACGACTGAATCCAAGCATGTTGTCGAAAAGATTTTCACGTGAACACTGTCGTGACCATATGGTGATCATTGCGCAGAAACGGAAGAATAAGAAAACATAGAAGCCAATCAAGTAATCTTTTTCTAATCTCCATTTAAAGAGAAACTGCAACAACATTTTGAACGATCGATGCTGGTGTTTTCGCAACGAAAGCCTTTTACGCATCCTTCTTCGTTCTTTCGGCTAACATCGTCAATCGTTATAAATCCTTCTTAATTTCTTGGAGGGTGCAGATCGCAACGATGAAAACAGTAAAGGCCTGTGATTGACTTTTATGCTAACAAAGTTGGAGCGTATGAGCGATAATGCAAGTTATTCAGTATGAAAACACTTTCAGCAACGTATACTGGTGGTCTAAGAAACCGTCGGCAGTCATAAGAAGATATTCGACTTCACACAGGCTCAATGATCGCAGTGAATTCTGCTTTTTTAAAACATGAGAACTTTCTTGGTTGAACTGACCGTGTTTTATCACGCATTCTCGAAATTCGCTGGCTGACGTCCCAAAGAGAGCCTGTTTCGGGGCCTCGACATACCTTATGTAGCTTCTCCTCACTGAAATCTCTGTGGAATTAATGAAGATCTAACGCATTAATGGAAATTATCTGTTAAGAACCACTTACTGCTTCTTTTTCGTTTCCGACTTTTGAAGAAAAGCTCAAAATGAGACGAAAAGATGACTACCTCAGCATCATAGGTCACTTGACGTCTTTTCTCAGATTATTTTTTGAGAGTGATTTGGTCGCCCCACGTGAACGTCACATGGGTACCCCACACCTCACAAGACGGAAATAGTCAATGATTTATAACTGACCATCATTCATTTGTACAGTTAGTCATTGTAGAGAATGTACCAATTTACATGCACAATATGCATCCAGTCATCGTCATTGAGATACGAACTGGTCTAATGCATTGCACAGCTCTCTTGGATTGATCTGCGTAGAAAGATTTGTCGAATCTGCGCTTGTCGCTGTTCCGCGTTTCCCTCTGCGTGGGCGCGTGTGAAGTAGTGGTCGGAGGCGCCCTGCGGCAACCATGGGATACCAACACACGGCGTCCGTGGCCCACCAAGCCTTCCATCCCTCCGGACTCGGAAAATTGATACCATACTTGTCTGGGAGGATAGAGACTGAGTTGATACATCGGTGAGCCTCCCGAGTCATTGTAAAGGCCAGATATGTATTCAATCACCTCCAAACGACACTTGATGAAGGCAAATACATGGCGCATCCTTAAGAGGGATTGATCAACGCCGAGAGCTCTTTTTAGAGAGATCTGTCGTGCTGTCTATAATATTATTTAAACAGAAAACGATAAAATGTGAAGCGTTCAGCGGTTGACAATTCCTTAAGTATAAGCTATGCATCCGACTCTATTCGTGTCACAGCAGGCATGGTTAAATGTTTTTTGTTATCGTGAGGTATGGCGATATCGAGAACTATTTGATCAATGCCGAGGTTAATAGAAAATCAGTCGAGGGAACCTACTTTTTCGTTGCTATCGTTGCTATCTATTCTTTTCAAGAAACCAAAAAAAGTTCGTCATTTTCCACCGTGGACTACGAGGAATTGTAACAGTCGAAAAGATCAACGGGAAGGGCGAAGAAAGTTTCGTAGTGAAAAGAACGTCAAAGTCAGTAGTTCAAAGTGTTGTTGCAGTCTTTCTTCAGTCGAAGGCAAGGAAAAGTTCCTTGATTAACTCTAATGTTTGACCGATCTTCCGTTTCCATAAAAGACCATCATATGGTTTTGAAAGCGTTAACGAGAAAATCTCGTCACCAGTATAGTTGAATTTAGTCGTAACGTCTTCTTTTTTTCAGAGCATATCAGTCGCCACCTACTATGTTCTTCCATGGATGTCATGGATGTCGCGAATCAGTTTTTTTCTCTTTAGCCAGAATCGTTGACGTTCAGCGCCATCCGAAATTCGATAATCTATGGGTGACCTTTCGACAAGACATCACAGCCTTGTAATTGCCATTTACTCATCGTTGAATAAATTTTATGATTCCTATAGTGAAATTAAAGGAGTCATTTTGGGTCAATCTTTTACCAATGACCATCTTAGACAGAATACCTATGAATTACATAAACTGGGTGTCTACAAGGGATGTGGTTATAGGTGCGCTGTACTGCGTAGTGGATCGTTCCATGGTTCAAGCCTGCGCCTTTCGTTCACCAGTCCTATACCTCCGGAGCTGGCAAACTTGCATCACGTCTGAGGTACCACGACTGGATTCCTATGAATGGCTCTTCAGTAAGCGGTAATCAACGTACAGCGTTTCATCTTAAATCTTTACCTCGCAGAAGCGTTCGGTGTTGACCAATCCTACAGGGGTAAACTATGTATATCAACTCCGTGCTAGTCATTGTAAAGGGCATAGGGTGCTTTTCTGTTTAGTGGGTAGCCTAGCGATATATCAGAATAGTGTCAGTCTCAGAGAAGCCTGATGCCACTTGTTCCAATCTGGGGGGAAGGAATGCATGTTTAGTCCAGGTCTTTATGTCGAGCAAGCAATTATTTTTCTATTCCAGGGCACTTTAACCTCCCCCCCCCCCCATTNCCCCCCCCCCATTGCACTGTTTTCAAAGAGATAATATCCGGCTTCACTAAAGAAAGGCATAATTAAGTTAAAAATGAAAAGAGTGTGGTATTCGAACTGCCTATAAGTAACGAGTGGTCGGTTCAAATAAATTTTCCAACAGATTCTCAGTCAGTCGAAGGGGGTTGAACCGTGTACCAAGACAATGTAAAAGTGCAAAAACTAGTCATTTTTAAGTAAAAAATCGATAACAATCTGGGACCAGCTTTACTGTGAGTGTGAAATGTCGAAAATGCCTCCAGGTCGGCAAAAATCTTTCGTGTCGAAGGTGGTTCACAAGGCGCTCCCAAGTTTTATGGCATGCAGACTGCTGAGTAGTGGTGAAAAATGCTCTCCGTGGCGATCAAACGCATGGTGGTGTTGTGACTAATCGCTTCACAAAATGCACTGTCATGAGTGCATCGCTTTCTCCTTTAGAAATCGCGAGGTTGTTAAACAGCATACATTTACTTCCATAGAGAAACACAATACAATACAACGCTAGCTGACGTTTCGGCAGTATCACCTTCTTCAGAGCCGCTTTTTTACGTGACTTCCAATGAGGAAGCTTAGAACAGCTGATTATAATCGCATATGGTTGAATGACTGCACCATCCCACATCAAAAATCGATGCAAACATACGGAGTCAGGTCGCGCATGACCTTTGGGCATTCATCTCTGCTATTATTTGAAGGGTCTTTGGCATTGATCCAAAATGCCTCAAGAAGTTTTCGCGCTGGTGTTTTAGTCTCCTGTGCAAGGATATTGACTTTTACTTCAAAATCGTCTCCGCTATGCTTTTGTATCCTATGCGTGCCTAGTGGGGTGCTTCGTCTTTGTTTTCGTTTGCCATCTAGGTGTTCTTTCATGCGGATACCCAAAGGTCTGTCCGTTTCGCCAATATATTCATCTCCGCAATTATTACAAGAGATCAGGTATATCGTACCTGAACTCATGCATTCACCGTCCCTGCCGTAAGGGAAAATTACGCAATTTGTTGTTTCACATAGACGGTCATACAGGCGGTTACGAACTAACTGACGACGTAGAGTAGCCGGTGCTATTTCAACTATCGCTACCGATTCCTTTAGACCTGCCCTTCTTAAGCATCGTTTAATAGCCTCGCTTACTTCATCGCTAATCAAAGGCAACATAAACGGGACTTTCTTTTGGCCAAGTGTTTGGTTTTGGAGCGTCGTTCTCCTTTTAAACTTATCTCGTCGAGTTACTATTTCGTAGCCATTGGAGATGGCTATTTGCCGAGCCAAGTCGGGCGATTCTTCCTTTAGTTCCCTGGTAGTGCACACAGAGGTGGCTGTTCGAAACATGTTTCTCACAATCTCCCTCTTTGTGTGTGAAGGGTGGGAAGAAAGGAAATGAACGAGGACGTTCTTGTTACTTGGCTTTCGTACCACTCTATAAAGTAACCGCTACTTGATAGGTTTAGAACGTTTAAAAACGGAAGCCAGTTTTTTCTCCGTTTCTCCCGGGTGAACTTTTTGTACTCAGACTGCTCGTTCAATAATTCGAAGCATTTGTCCATCTCCTCCTGCGTAGAGAAGACGACAAAACAATCATCTACATATCTGCAGTAAAGTAGTGGCCGGAGATCGAGAACAGGGGCTTCTATCTTAGACATAAACACAATGGCAAGGCTTTGTGCCAGTCGCTGTCCCATTGCTAACCCCCTTATTTGCGCAAAATATTTCCACGAACAACTGAAAATCCAGCAGCTTAGGCACTCCTATAAGAGAGCCATTAGCTGCTGGATGGACAAGCCATGCATATTTATTCTTCCTTCATGTTCAACAAGAAGTTTGAAGATGGCTTGCATTGCGGAGTCATTCGATACGTTGGTGTACAGTGCGGTAACGTCGAAAAACTCCATCACGTACGCGTTATTAGGAGACGCGTTACGTAGACGTTCTAGACGTTCGTTCTTAATCACTTCCGCGATAGACAGTTTATCTCTAACCTTACAGCCGCACAAAATGTGGCATGCGGGAAATTAGAGAATTAATAAACTGGAAAACAATAAGATTGTCTGTTAGTGATAAGGGGGGAAGGAGAGTTCGTAGTTATTAGTTAGTTACTTTGTCTTCGTTCTACAGCTTTTCGTTTTTTCTCAGTGTTACTGAGGCGTTTGGCCTAGAAGATTGTATATCAGTACGCCCTTCCAGGCTCTGAAGAAGGCGATTCTGCCGAAACGTCAGCTAGCGTTGTATTGTATTGTGTTTTTCTATGGAAGTAAATGTATGCTGTTTAAAAACCTCGCGATTGCTGGACAAGAAAACGACGCATTCATATTCCAATGCCGAGGTTAATAGATAGTCGATCCTGGGAACTGTCATGAGTTTTTTGCTAGCTTTTTCCCAGGAACTGCCAGTGTCCCCTTCATTAAACCATCCGACCGTACTTGTTGCATTAAACTATAAAAAATATCACCTACTTTTTCATCACGTTTCAGTGTTTTTTTGAGAAAAACGCTCTTCCTCTTTCTCACCGATAAGCATTGCGTTACACGCTGCGACAAGGAGCGATTCGCTGGAACAAGAGCTATGATGAAAGGTGGGTTCTGGGCGAATATTACTGCTGGTCATTTGAAAGTTACAAAAACAACTGCAGCAACGAATTCTCCGTTTGCGTTGCTGTTGCAACTCCTGCTCGCTCGCCTTATTCAGGTTTCGATTTTCATTTATTGTAAGAGCGGAAACAGCATGGTGCTTGGCGGTGGCTTATACGATTAGGGTTCGTCGATTCGGTCTCTCTGTAAGGACAGGCTTCCTCCTCACCCAGGATCGACAGTTCCATATCAGATTGTCTACGATGCCCCTGCAAGTCATTTTATGGGCTAAATATGCATTATGCCACCTCTGCGACGCCGCGAATGGAGATTAATGCACGGTGCCTCTTTAAGGGGTCGAAGCAGAAGCAGTTTTACCCTTCAATCATAGACTAAGTTTAAATTACCTAAAAGAAGAAAGCTTATTTTTGTTTCTGAGAATGTTGGACTGATGTAATACGAACTAATACTAATACGAACTGAAAACCGAGAACCGGTATCGTCACTAAATTTGATATTTTCGCAATCCAACCTGAAAAGACGTACTATGGCATTCACGTGACGTTCAACTGATCTGCAATGGAAAAAATTCGTGGAAAACATGGCTGACAATCCTTCCTATGTCATCTACAATCTTTTTGACAATCTTTTTCGATTTATGTTTTAACTACAGTAGGTTTTATGTTGTCAGGATTTCCATACGAGACAAAGATTGAAGATGATCAGCACAGTTTAGAAATCGCAGGTAGCATTTTCTCACTTCGAAGCTGCTATCAGCCTGCTATCCGACGAACTGACAAAGACGTTTAAAAAAGAGAGAAATAAACAGATGTAAAAATCTGAAAAAATCTTACAAGTAGTTTTTTGGAACGATTTCAGCTTTAGATCATTCTTAGATAACCCATCATAAAATGCTGCCTCCCGTTAAATTTACGAAGCACTGGCTTGCTTAATACAGACCTCCTTCGGCGGTCCATCAACAAGAAAATTACCACTCGACTGATGATTCCGTCATCGAAAACGATTTCTTTTCCAGAGTTCAGCGACAAGCAATCAATATTGATAATAAGTCGTCTATTCACTTTAAATTCACCTATCGAGAAAGTTCTTCTTTTCCGACAGTTCTGAAGATAGCAGTGCAAAGTCTGCTCTAAGTTAAAAGATTTCATCTTCCTCCACTTTAGAGCCAACCGTGCTAGGTTTTTCTTGAGTCGTCGAATCGCGTGAATTTGCTGATTGTCGAACATTTTCCTTCTCCTTAGTGCAAAAGTGGTCGCGCAAGGTTTGTTCGATGTTCTTGTCATTCAACTGAGTTTGCTAGCCGAGGGAGTTGGCCGTATTTCCTAGAGTTCGAGGAAAGCCGTGCAATATTTTTCCCGAGATTTAAAATCACAATGTTGTTAAGTTTTGTCGTTTTGAAGGGTCTGTTTGTCTTCTTGCCCATTAACTTAATTACCTTATTAAGGTTTCGACTTTCAATTATTGTAGGGAGCAAGAAAAGCGCGGTGGTTGGAGGTGTCCTACAGAATTAAGGTAAGTCGATTCGATCTCTTTGTACGGACAGCACAAGCTTTATCCTCACCCAGGCAGGATTGGCAATTTCACATCGAATTGTCTACGAGGTTCCTGTAATTTTATGAGCCAAATATGCATCAGATCACCTCTACGACGCATTAATGAATGACGCATCCTCAAGTGGCCAAAGCACGAGCGGTTTCACCCTTTAATCATAGAATTCATACGGTTTACTTAAAAACAGAGAACTTATTTGTGCTTCTGGAAATGTTCAGCTACTGTAATACGAACTGCTACTGAAAATCGAAAGCCAGTATCGTTACTGTTTCTGATGTTTTCGTAATTCAACCTGAAAAGATGCATTGTGACATTCACTACTTGTTGTTCAGCTGATCTGTAAAAACAATTGGCCAAAACTTGGTTGTCAAGTGCTAACATTGCTAGGTTTTTGTTAAGTCGTTGAATCACGTGAATTTGCTGATTGTCGAACATTTTCCTTTTCCTTCGTGAAAAAGTGCTCGTGCAAGGTTTTTTTCTACCTGGTTGACATTCGACTGAATTTGCTTCTGGAGAGCGATGTTTTTCCTTTGCAGAGTTCAAAGAAAGCCGTACAATGCCTTGAGTTCACATTGTTGTTAAGTTTTATTCTTCTGAAGAATCTGCTTACCTCGTCGCAACCATGTTTTTTTTCAGAATACAGGTAACTGATGGCAGATGTGCAAGCCTTGTTCACCTATCATACCAAAATGTCGAACTAATCAGTAGGATTGTCCCTCGAAGAGATGAACTCTCATAATTCAGCAGCCGAATGACAACTAGAACTCGCCGTAACGGGCTTCTGAATGCTGTAGAACCAGTAATTGATGTTCCTGTATACTCCGATTATCAAGCAACTGCTACTGAAACTGCAGGAAACTTGTTGCTACTGCTAAAATTAGTGTTTAATGCAAAACATGACTTATATTTTTCGATCAATATTAGTGTGTCAATCTGAAGGGTTTTATGAAGTTTTCAACCTTTTTCTCAAAAGAAAATTTTCACCCTTATAACTGTTAAAATGAAAAAACGTGTTTCTCTGATTTTTAAACCAGCCTTTATCTGTAGTATCCAGAACAAATGCCGAACCATATGCTTTCTATCGCTGGCTTGAATAGCCCATTCTCAGGAGATACGATCCAATCCACAGTGAAGATCAACTACGGCGTCGTCATCGTGGTGGCCGAAACGTCGTAACGTAGCCGTCGTCGTTTTTTATATCTGAGTAAAAGAAGTCTGCAAATAAGCTGGGCGAACAGTCTGTCCACGAAAGGGAAACCCGAGTGCGACTTGTTCATTTCCTGAGTCAACAAATAAATAAGAATTATTTCTGTTTTTCGTTTCGTTTTTTTGCCTAGGAAAGCGTTCAGTGCTTAGGTTAGAGGTGCAATTTAATGCACTGCTAGTCCCCAGTTCGACTCCGTGCCCCTGGTCACTAGATCTTCCATCATTCTGCATTTGCCTAAACCTCTCCTAAGCAGGACAGCAGCAATTAGCGAGTAATTCTGTAGGCCACGTACGAATTCAATCACTTTCATGATTCTGCGAATGGAGTCCAGTGCATGCTACACCCTACAGATAGACCAACGTCCAAAGCTCTAACCATTTATGCTTCAGTTTTCATCCGTTTTGTCACAAGTCTATTTTTAAAATATTGTATGTCGCATGTGGAAGTTGGTTTAAAATTTTACATAATTGCCAAAATTAACTCTCTAGAAAAAAACCAGGAAGAAAAAACGAATCAAATAGGACTTCTGTGGTGAAATAATTCTACTTTTCACTCACCCCTTATTTTTCCTCTGAATTTCGCTCAATGGTCTGACTTTTCCTCTACAAAAATTTAAAAACGAGACTTTGCTTCGAAAAAGTCCCGTTGAACTAAGCGTGCTTAAACAATATTTAGCTCTTACTTACTGCCTATTGTTGTTTTCGTGACAGAGAATGCTGTGAAATGCAACTCCAGGATTGCTAAGATATGTGCAAAACTCGGAACCTCAGGCGTCCGAACTTGCGATCACTCTTTTGGCTGGTCATTTGCTATCCACCACGCCAACCGAGCTGCTTGCTGCTGTTTTCACTCGAATCCCAATCGAGGTTCCGAGTTTTGTTTATATATCAGTCCTTAAGCAGATGACTGAAGATGTGCACTTACGCACTTGCCCACTTATGTGCATATACGTTAAACGCCAATTTTAATACGTTAGTTTAGCTATGTTTGGAGCTAAAAATTACAGAAGAATGGCAAGGAAATTTGTTTGTTATATTCATTTACATGACTCATCATCACATCCACCGTGCGGATCTCAACTCTTCTTGCATCCGATTCGTTTTCCTCGCTTTCATCGTTCACAAAGTTCTTCGAATATTTCGCGTGCTGATTCAGCTGCTGCTTGAGGATTTCGTTTGCTTTACAAACGTCGTAGAGTGCTGGTCAAGTCGACTCTTCTGCAATCTTGATGATAGCCAAGCTCAAGCGTTTCTAAGAAGCCTGCTTCCTGGTAGACTGGAGCAGTACCCACCACTCTACGCAACTGCTATCCGGAAACGAAACCTTAATTGTTAAAATTTCCACAGCAAAAATAGCATAAAAAAAATAAGCGATATTGATAAAAAATGAACGATATTGCGATCGGTGAACTCATCGTAATGATCAAAATGCACGCCATTACGCAAAGAAATAGTTTTGACGAGTTTCATAAAATAAGAATTTCATCACAACAGAGTGGAATCGTGACAGAATGGAAGAAGTTCTACGTTGAAGGCGAAGATCTGCGGACTCAAATGGTTTCTGTTCTAATTAATTGGGTTGAGTATGAGCTGAAATGCATTGGCCTGTAGCCAAAGGAAACCATTAATCTTTCATTGAGTGCATTGTACTTCATGCATCCAGAGCGTTGTACGTTAAAGTAAGGAGCAGCTCTTTTTTCAACAACATGAGCCACCAAAAGACTTCTCGACTTTTTGACAACTTCTAATTGAAATTCCCATGCTATTGTGACAATAAAACACCGTTTAGTGGCTCTATTTGTTTTTCGTTTCAATGTCGCCGTGCTTCATACCTGAACCCTCGGCAGTTTGACTAAGTCCGTCCTGAACCTGAACAGTCTACGTAACTTCAGAAGAAAATAATCATATAAAGTCATTTATCGCCCTTGTGTTAGCCTATCAATAGAGGAAATCGAAATGATATTTCATTGATGCCAGGTTTTCTCTATGTAGCTCATTATGAGATGAAGTAGTTTTTTTATACGATCCGTCTTCACATGTGCTGCGCTGGTCCCAGCACTTCTCACATTTCACTCTTTTCCTTGCGTCCATCGTATTCTTTTAACTTTTAACATGTAGCTTCGGCTTTTGTTTGAGTATTTTTATTTCATCTTGAGTGTCGTAGACTGCTGGTCTAGTCGGTTCTTCCTGGAGTGCTGAGATAGCTGAGCTGGAGCGTTCCCAGTTAGTTTGTAGAGAGTGATTTTTACCGGACAAGTCCATTGCAAATTTTTCGATCCAGGAGGGATGAGAGGCTTGGCGACCCTGGAGCGGAATCGAACAAGTATAGCTCTCGTGATGTTCGGCATCACCACCACTGTGCTATCCGCCACATTAAAAATGGTTGTAATGTGACACTTTTACTGAAAGGTTTCAAAAGAGAACTCCCGGATAAAAAGGGCACAGCAGCACGACGGTTACAACAGCAAGCGCCACCCTTTCGAAAGGCTCTTGTGTAAAAGCATAGGCACCGTTTCGTATGGCTCCGAATTTCAGAAAACAGCACCGAAGTGCTCTGTTGGTGGTGCGCTAATTTCTTGACGTTGTTAAAGCAAAAACCCACGTTTCTGCTTCACAGCGAACATTT